TGATGGGGTGCAAAGGGAGAATTTATCCGCAGCAAGAGAGAGAGGAGATGAAGAGCCTGTGCATCCTGGGAACTGCAAGGAGTTCAGGAAGACTGGAGCAGAGCTTGCATTTGGAGGCCCTCCATGAGCAGAACGGCTTGGCAGAGGGCGAGCTAAGATGGCTGTGGGTCTGCTGAGGAGTCGTGTCTGAAAGGCAGTGGGAGTCATGGAGGAATTCTGAGCAGAGGAGTGACGTGACACGACATGACATGGCGTAAATCATGTATTTCCTACAGACCAATCCAGGGCTCACCTACCCTTTGGCCTAGGAGAGAGTTCCTGAGGGCAGGGAGGAGCACGGGTTATCAGAGAGTTCCGTGGGACGGATGCCAGGATACCTTGGGAAGAAAGAGTCTGGGACAAAGGAGTATGAAGAAATGCTACCTGGTTCAGTGGTCCCGGATCCTGACTACCTTTACATTTACTTAGGAGCTTCTTTAAAAAGATGTGGTCCCAGTCCTCTCTAGATGAAGAAAATGAGAGCACTTGGGAGTGGGGGTGGGGGTGGTTTTAGAAGTCGCCCCCAGGTGATGCCCGCCGGGACCCGGGCTCAGAGCCTCCAAGGTGAAGTGTCTGAGGCTGTGGTTTGCTCCTGAGCCCCCGAGAAGCCCACCTGCCAGGGAAGGTGGGCCTGTCGGTGCCCAACTGTAGGGAGGTCCGGTAAAGTGGTGCCCCAAATGGAGGCAGGAGAACTGATCCTTTGAAGCAGTTCTTCCTTCCGCTTGAAGGAACTTTTGTGACCGGGGTTGGGAATCCTGGTTTAGATCAGAAGGCAGCGCCTGCCTTCACGCAGCCGACGTGCTTCCCCACGGCTGGTAAAGCATCCGCGCTTCCACTGGCCTGTGCCCACAAGTCTGCCCGTGCTGGGGGAACCCGCGGAACCCGGACCATGCTTGACTTTTCTCACATCCCTCCCGGTTCCGTAGAATTGTATTTAAGAGATGCTTTCTGTGGAGCATTTGCCTTGAGGCCTGATTTTGGAAGCACGTGGCAAATCGCAAAGAAGGCAGGAAGCTCAACGTGAGGGTTCCCACCGTGAAGACAGCAGATGGAAGGTGGAAGTACTCATATCCTGCTCAGACCCGACGGTCATTGCTCAACCACTGAGATGGCGACTTCAGCGGAACGATGACGGGGTTGGGGAATTTCTGTCTCACTTACTGTTGAGGGGTGAGGGGAAGCTAGGGTCACCCAATCATGCCAGGAAGTGTGCGAATACGGCCTCATGGTTCCCAGTCAGACACCAAAGGTTCTCCCGAACCTCATTCATCTAACACAAGTCATTACTGAAGCTGGTTCCAATAAAAATTTCCTATTTCCTCCTTCACACGTTTGTCTGTTGTTGGCTTAGAGAAAACCCAGATCTAAATGTGTCATATTTCCACTGCATTTTCAGTTTCTGATGGCACTTTTGCCTGGTGGGGGATTTTTTTTTTAAAAACATTGTCCCGAGAGCCGGTTAGAGGCCTCCAAAACCAGACACAGGGGGAGTCAAAGTCACAGTACTGATGCTGCATTCCCATGGTTTGGCTAAGTATTTTTGACGTTGTTCATTGATGCTTTTTTTTTTTCCAGAGAAATCGGGGTTGCTTGTTTCTGCAAGTCTTTGCTCTCTGTCACACTATGGCAATTGAATGGAAAGAAGTGGTTGTTTCTCCACTTGTTCCTTCATCTTCATATCTTAGGGATATTCCCAGCTCACCTGTTAGGATCAATATGAGGAGTCAGAATTCATACACCTTAAGTGCTTTAGACTGGGCCTTGTACACAGTGAGTGCTCAATAAAAGTTAACCATTGATGGAATTGTTGGGAGGCATCTGGGAAGACTGCCTAGAGAACGTGACACTTGGCCGAGGCCTTGAAGGATGAGTAAAATTTGATAATGAGAGGATGGGAGAGTATTTCCCGCCAGGGATGTGTTGGGGGGTGAAGAAGGACCAGGTTTACTTTGGCTGGGGTATGGAGCACGTGCAGGGAGCTGAACAGTTCCATGCCACGTGGAGAGCCTTAAAAACCCCGGGGAGATGTCTAGACTTGTTTTCTAAGCATTGCAGCAGGAGCTCCAGGGAAGTTTGTGCAGGAGAGCCAAGATCAAAACGTTAATGTAGGAAGTTTGATGAGGCAAGGCTGATGTCAGGAATCTCAAGAAAGAGAACAGGAGACCTGGAGTTTTAGTTAGGGTAAGGGTGGAAGTTGTGGCCTGGATCAGGAGGGAACTAGAAAGGGTAAATCCCTACCTGACCTGGTTGTAGACATGGGTTCTTTTCATATTAAATAAAATGGATCTTAGGTCATTACCATTTTCTCTTGGTAATTGCAAAGGGGTGAGAGTGAAGTCAGTAACTATCCCATTTATTAAAAAATCAATGACAGCTTTTTACAGTTTTTCTAATTCTGATTTCTATAGAAGCAACAGGTTCTCATTTATTATGCATCCTAATTTCATGAATGGACATTGTTAAATGTAAACTAAATAGAGGCATGTCTCTTTCCCATGGTTTGATATCTAAAGGAAAGACATTCTCATCTATATTAGAGAAAGGAAAAGACAGGTGAAATTCCTGATCTCTGTAGTTCTTGAAAGTGCTGCTTTTTAGCCATTGTAAGCCTTCCATTAAATTATCTGCACAAGATGCAAACCTTGGCCTGTTCACATCGTTTCTTTCTAACCAACTGCCCCTAAGAAGAGTGGCTATGTGAACACAGCTTTTTAGATCAATTTTTGGTGATTTGGGGGCATTTCTTTTTTCTTAGTGGTGGGAAATGAATAAGAGTGACAAGACATCAGTAGGCATTTATGTATTCCTGAAGTGGCTTTAAATGAGTAGGCTCAGACAGTGAAGAATCTGTCTGCAATGCAGGAGACCTGGGTTCAATCCCTGGGTTGGGAAGATTCCCTGGAGGAGGGATGGCAACCCACCCCAGTATTCTTGCCTGGAGAATCTCATAGACAGAGGAGCCCGGTAGGCTACAGTCCATAGGGTCACAAAGAATTGGACACAACTAAGCGACCAAGCACAGCACATATATAAAAACACTTTGTAATTTGTTAAGTATTATATAAATAATTTAAACGTTCTTTAGAAAAAATAATGCCATACATCTTTCATGCCTCTTGGCATGAAGCCATTTTAATAAGAAATCAGGAACATGTTATAAGTAAGTGGTGATGCTGGCTGGAGAATTGTGTCCAGTTAAGGCTTGTGTGTGTGCTGATCTGGTAGCATATCTGAATATAGTCCAGAAAAGGTAGATGTTGAGAATTTCTGGCTGTTCACACTTATTAAGTAAAATATGTAGAAAGCAAATACTTTTACTTTTTAACAATCTATTGTTTGACGTCTAACAATCTATTCAATGGAAATAACCGCTATACAGTAGAAGAAGCAAGATATTTAATATATTTTTAAAAAATAAATGTTTAGCTTCTTTTCTTTCCATGTCTATCTTTGTGCCATGGCCATGGGGATAGAGAAGAAAGTAGTTTCCACATCTTTTAAAATAAAATGTTGAACTTTTATATGTTTTTCCAGCAATACAATTTTCTGGAAAATGTTTATTTTATGATTTTATTTAAAGATTCTTTAATTCCTTACTGAGATGAGGTATGGATATAAATACAAGAAAAACTGTTAAATGCAGATAATTCTCATTGGACAGTTTGATATATTGTTTGATTCAGTACAGAGATTGAGATTCTTCAGTGTCAACAGAGTGACATGTTCCAGTCACTCTATCCTTCAAAACCTCAAGTTCAGTCCTGAATCTTGTGTTTTATGATGCTGCTTTCATCACCACACTGAAAAGATTCATCAGAGTAATAAACCTTGCCCTGTCTTTTATTGCTTCCCTGCTTCCATAAGTGGTTTTTGTTTGGGTATTAACTAACTTATCACAAGATAGTAGCAGGCTTTTTTCTATAAGGCCATCCTTACTTGTTTTAATGAATTTGAGTGTTGTCAGTTGTCTTTCCTCTAAAGACTCAAAGAACTCATGAAACAATAAGTTAAAACCTATTTTCTAAAACAATAAAGTTACTGCACAAAAGTGAGATTATATTAAAGTGAGACATATATATATTTCTCTCTGATGGATTATCCACCTCCTATCTGGCTCAGAGGAGAAAAGTGTAATGAACATTTGAATGTGGAGTAAATTAAGCAATACTGAGACATTTATAAATGAGTGAATAGCCTTACACGCTAAGTACTCTGAGGATCTGAGGAAGGTGGGAAGAAGGGTTGAAAGAATATTTTTTGTAAAAACTGAGAAACTAATGACTATGCCCCGAACTCCTCTGTGAGTCAGTTTTAATGAGGTCGTAAACAGGGCTTGGATGAATTTGAACACCATGTCAGTTGCTCTTGGCCTTACTGTTTATCCGTACTGTCTATAAGATGTTAACCACGGGGTAGTAGAAGTTGTTTTGGGCATTTCAGCCTGCCATGACTGTGGGGTTTATCGACTTAGTGCCCTTCAGCGCTTCTCTGCTGCCTGATAGACCCAAAGAGACACCTTCAGAACACACAGGCCGCTACATGCATCCCATCGGGTCAAGTCAGTTCTCTTCCAAGGTGTCAGATGTACTCGGTGGCCTTCTATTGATATGAAAAGTAAACCAAGTTAAGCCACGCAGACCTGAAATCAATTGTTTAATCCTCCTTCAACTTTCTCACGATGCCCTGTTTTCATAATTATTTGTAACCAGAACACAGAAGCAGCAGAGAGGGACTTAATGCTGAGACTCCATTTTTGTTTCTTAAAGGAAAGGTGGATAATTTAATGTATCTTTTAAAGTCTGAAGAGATGTAAAAATTTTAAGCCGTTTGAATAAGTGGATTTTGTTTTTTGCTTATCCCTTGTCAACAGGCAATTATATAACGAAACCAGGGTTTATTAAGGAAGAAGGAGCAGATTTACACATAGTTAACATGTTTGTCTGTCCTTTCTTCTCTTGTAGAAATCGAAGCCAAAGAAGCTTGTGATTGGCTCCGAGCCGCAGGATTCCCCCAGTATGCCCAGCTTTATGAAGGTAAGCTAGCAACGTCATTCCTTTTTTTTTAATTTGTATCTGGGGCTGCTCTGGGTCTTCGTTGCAGACATTTTGTTATTTACTTGAATATTTCATTAAGGAAAAAATATAGCAAGCACCTAAAACCACCGCCACCGAAAAAAGCCAGGACCTTAATAATAGCACACCTACCAGTCTCCTGTCACTCTACCACCCTGTAACCAAAGTAACCATCCTGCAATAACACACACACACATACCTAGCAGTAGTATTACTGGGTAGTAGAGAAGATGTACATGCAACTTTATAATGCAAGTTTTTCAAAAGTTCCTGTACTGATTTCACTCCTCCCTGTAATATAAAAAGATCCTGTCTCTGCACATGCTGTCAACCCTTGACATTGCCAGACTTTAATTTTTGCCATTCAAGTGGATATAAAATTATATCTTACAGATTTTGACTGGCATTTTTCTAGCTATTGATGATAAGACACATTTCTTTGTGGCATCTGGTCGTATGTGTTTGCTCTTCTGTGAAATATCTGTTGCCCATTTTTACCCTGAGTTGACTGTGCTTTTCTTGATGATTTATAAGAGCTCTTTATTCTAAACACTAAGGTTTTGTTGGTCATGTGTCATAGATATATTTCCCTACTTTGGCATTAGGCTTTTCACTTTTCCTTAGATTGTCATTCGATCAATATTATTTCTCCTAGGTTATTTCAGTAAGTGGACCCTTTTATTAAAAGAAATCAAGATCTAGGTTGACTTTTAAGTAGCTTCCCTGGTAGCTCAGACAGTAAAGAATCTGCTTGCAATGCAGGAAATCCAGGTTCGATCCCTAGGTCAGGTAGATCCCCTGGAGAAGGGCATGGCAACCCACTCCAGTATTCTTGCCTGGAGAATCCCATGGACAGAGAAGCCTGGTGGGCTACAGTCCACGGGATGGCAAAGAGTCAGATAGGACTGAGCAACTAGCACATTCACTTTCAGGCTGGCTTTTTGCTGCTTCTTGTTGTTTTCATCAGTGGCCCGAACATCACTTGGATGCTGAAACAGGACGCTGAGCACCTTGAGTCTCGCTCATGTCTTTGGTTGCCTGGGATAGGCAGAGTGTGCTCTGTATAATACGAGGGGAAGAGGTTGTTCATTTAAACGGGAGGCTTATTGTTCTTATTGCCCAATGTTTCTCATTCATCTGTCCATCCATCTATCCAGCCAACCATCCATTCAGCTAATCAACAAGCCAGTATTAATTCTGCACCATCAGGGGTGCCCACCACTTTAGTAGATGCTGCAGATTTTGTAGAAATAAAACAGTTCAGACCTCAAAGAACACCATTAAGGGGTTACCAAATATCTCAAAAAGCAAGCATAATTTTCTTTGATTTACACTGAAAGAATACATCTTTTTCACCACGTAAGAGGAAGGAGATGCTATGAGACAGGCATTATGTGACAAAACTGCTGAAAGAGCCAGGTTAAACGATGTCGTTTCAGTCTTTTCACCAGGGATGTTCAACTCTTCTCACAATAAATAGTGATTTTAAGACGTTTCTTTTGCTCTCCCATCCTTCTAGGATGATAATAAGCAGGCTGCTTCCTATAGCAATGGCAGTGGGCTCTCTCTGGTATCTGCTGGTCACCAGCATTCTTCTTTAATAAATGAGCAGAATGCCATGATGCTGGGAAAGCCTGAGGACGGGAGGAGAAGCGGGCAACAGGGTGAGATGGTTGGATGGCATCACTGACTGAATGGACATGAGTCCGAGCAAACTCCAGGAGATAGTGAAGGACAGGGAAGTCTGACGTGCTGCAGTCCATGGGGTCACAGAGTCAGACACAACTTGGCAACTGAGAAACGACAAGTGCTAAGACTGGATACAGTTTGTCAGCTTGGAGGTGCTCCCGTGATAATCAGGCTTCATTTTTAGGAAATATTTATTTATTTGGCTGCACTGGCTGTTAGTTGCAGCTTATGGGATGTAGTTTCCCCATCAGGGATTGAACTGGGCCCCCTGCATTGGGAACATGGAGTCTCAGGCTGTGGACCATCAGGGGAGTCCCGCTGCAGCAGGTTGCACTGAAGAAGGAAATGGAGGGAGTAGGGATGCCCCCCAGAAGCAAACTGGGGAGAAACCACAGAGATCATTTTTATATCCCTAGCTCACTCAGCTAATCTAACTGATTACTTCATTAATAATGCCTGCTCTTCCTCTTAGTAGCCCAGACTGAATGTATGATGTTTCCCCATGAAGATGGGCTTAAAATTATTTTATAACTAGACTGTGTAGAATATCTTACTGTTCCTCCATTTCAGAGAATCTCTCCAATTCCTTTTCCTTCTTCCTTCCTTTCTTTCTCTCTTTTAAGGTGTTTGGTTAGCCCGCGTGTTCATTAGGTGGAGTTGCTTATCTTTCCTGTAGGAGAATTTTGGACCTGTTACCATTTACAGCACCTCTGTCTCTCAGTAGGGCTTTGGAGGGGTTGGGGGTGGGGGAGACCCAGCATTCTATTGGATTTTCAGTTCACAGCTCTACTGGAGATACGGAAAGATAATTGCATTTGCAGTGGCAGTAACATGCTTGTCCTTTTGTTCTCCTGTTTAGAAATTAAATTTCCTTCAATTATGTCGATTTTTAGTGTTGATTTGCTGCCAAGCAGCCCTTTCTTCTGATGTGTATCTTTGCTGAGATCCCCTTCCGGTCTCTGCTTACATCTTTCCAAATCCTAAGAGACAGACTTTATTTTCGCCAGTTACATTTTGGGGTCCTTTGACGTTTATAAGTCTTTTAAAGCCTAAATCTACTTTTGAGGTTGTACTGTACATTGTTCTAAGCGTTTATAATTTCTCTCCTTTGTCCTGCCCCCATGTACAGGGCAGGTACACACACACACCACATACCGCCACACTTGTTCCTTGATTCCTAGCTTTATTTTGGTCCTTGACAATATATACATCCTGCATTTAAACCCAAGCTGGAAGTTTAAATCCTAACCTGAAGAACTCTGAGAACTACTGAACAATAGCAAAAAAAGTAATTATTTCACTCTTCTCTTGCATTTAGTCCCTACTTTTCCTAGAATTTTTTTTTTTAAACAGAATTTTAAAGTTAATTTGGGTCAGGAAAGTAATCTGAAATATAGCTCTGGGCACACTGAGTTAGGAATTGCTAAAATAGCCAAGTTTCTGTCTCAGATGCACGCAACAGGCATGTTAACTCTATGATTTACATGTATTATTACAAGCATATTCCTTAATATAAGCTCTGTCCTTTAATACTTAGAGTGCATGATGTCTGTTCAAAGTGAAATACAGTTGCTAGAAGCTTCAAACAGCTTTATAATCTGCTTTGCTTCTATTTACTAATAGTTTACATTCACTAGAAGTCTTCTCTCTTATTGCTACTATAGTGGTGCCGCTAATCATTTCCCTAATCATTTGGTCTATAAGGTAATGAAGAGAGGTAGGTCCTCCAATACTGAATTTTATAAATTTCTTCATGAATCTTTAGGCTCTAGCTATTTCATTGGTCTGTCTGTCTTACCATTCAGAGAACAGGATCACTAACGTTAGCCTTCAGAAAAACTAATAGATCACAACACTCATTATGTTTATCTTCAACATTGGGGGGGGGAGGTATTTATAAGTATAATTTCTGGAAAATTGATGACTGAAGATAGAGAGCTCGATACTGTTCTCTAAAACCAATAATCATAAGTTAGAAGCCATAAAAACATAATGAACCATCATGTGCTCCCATGTCAACCCCAGAACTAGAATACTATTAGTTACTTGTGTCTCCAAAACTACCAACAGCCATGTCAGTTTCCCCTTGCAGCATTAGTCATTTGGGAGGTCAAAGGGGTCTTTAGGTTCTGTGTATTCTTGTGCATTCTTGTGTATTTTGTGTATTCTTGTGTATTCTGTGTATTCTTGTGTGTTCCTGTGTATTCTTGTGTATTCTTGTGCATTCTTGTGGATTCTTGTGTATTCTGTGTATTCTGTGTATTCTTGTGTATTCTGTGTATTCTTGTGCATTCTTGTGTGTTCTTGTGTATTCTGTGTATTCTTGTGTATCCTTGTGTATTCTGTGTATTCTTGTGTATTCTGTGTATTGTTGTGTATTCTGTATTGTTGTGTATTCTTGTGCATTCTTGTGTATTTTGTGTATTCTTGTGTATTCTGTGTATTCTTGTGTGTTCCTGTGTATTCTTGTGTATTCTTGTGCATTCTTGTGGATTCTTGTGTATTCTGTGTATTCTTGTGTATTCTGTGTATTCTTGTGTATTCTGTGTATTCTTGTGCATTCTTGTGTGTTCTTGTGTATTCTGTGTATTCTTGTGTATCCTTGTGTATTCTGTGTATTCTTGTGTATTCTGTGTATTGTTGTGTATTCTGTATTGTTGTGTATTCTTGTGCATTCTTGTGTATTCTTGTGTATTCTGTGTATTCTTGTGTATTCTTGTGTATTCTGTGTATTCTTGTGTATTCTGTGTATTCTTGTGTGTTCCTGTGTATTCTTGTGCATTCTTGTGTATTCTTGTGCATTCTTGTGCATTCTTGTCTATTCTTGTGTATTCTGTGTATTCTTGTGTATTCTGTGTATTCTTGTGTGTTCCTGTGTATTCTTGTGTATTCTTGTGCATTCTTGTGTATCCTTGTGTATTCTGTGTATTCTTGTGTACTCTGTGTATTGTCGTGTATTCTTGTGCATTCTTGTGCATTCTTGTGTATTCTGTGTATTCTTGTGTATTCTGTGTATTCTTGTGTATTCGTGTGTGTTCTTGTGTGTTCCTGTGTATTCTTGTGTATTCTGTGTTTTCTTGTGTATTCTTGTGTATTCTGTGTATTCTTATGTATTCTTGTGCATTCTTGTGTATTCTGTGCATTCTTCTGTATTCTTGTGTATTCTTGTGTATTCTGTGTATATTCTTGTGCATTCTTGTGTATTCTGTGTATTCTTGTGTATTCTGTGTATTCTTGTGTGTTCTTGTGCATTCTTGTGTCCTGCAGTGCTCCATTCCTGACCCACAGTTGCACAGAAGGACTCTTCCTCACGATATTTTACAAGCTTTTTACTAGGAAGGCCCGTTACTTACCTTAGTAGCTTGGAACACCAAAGAGGGATAGCGTGCTCTTATCTAGTGGCAGTCCCAGGAGCTTTGTCGTGTTCCATGGAAGCACTGCTGGTCTTCTTCCTCCCTACTCTTCCTGGATGCGTTTATCAACGAGGGACAGAAAAGTGAATTCCTCCATTGAGTTGACTCTTCCCCTTGTCTGCTTTTCGATTTTGATATAACTTAATGTATTCTTAGAGTAGTGAACTCTTCTACAGATAAAAGGATTTGGGATTCTGTCTTTCTACACCAGCTTTAGAGCTGGCCTTTTGTTTCAGGGGGATTTATATAAACCACTGGAAAGCCATATGGAAGTGCTAGTATTTGTTTAAAAATAGCACATCCTGAATTCTCTTTAGCTTTTGATGTCATGCAAATGACTGGATTCCATTGACAACCACCATTGTTCTCTAGATCTTTCCTTGGCCTGGTTTTCTGTGACCTCTTCCCTGATCAAAAGTGAGTGAAGACACACATGGCGTGGGGAGGGAGGAAACAGCCACATTAGAAGGAAGCATCCTTCTGGTATTCATTCTGGTTTAAATTATAGTTTATATAGCAGGTCTGTTGACTGCTGATTTGTTTAAAGGTGAAACAGTGTTTTGAACCACTTATCTTTGACAACAGATACTTGAGTCTGCAGACCACTTGATATCCAAGCTCCTTTAGGACACAGAAGATATTGTCTTAAACTGCTTTACATTCCCATAGCACTTGGTAGGGAAGGAGGTAACCTGTACACAGTAAGTATTCAAGAAATTATCTTGTTTTTGAGGGGTTTTTTTTTCTCCCTCTGCTAAACTGGGCTAGACTGGCAAGCGTCTGAATGCTCAATAAGTATATTTGTTTTTATTTTTCTTACAGATCTTCTGTTCCCCATTGATATTTCCTCAGTGAAGAGAGAGCATGATTTTTTGGACAGAGATGCTATTGAGGCTTTATGCAGGTAAACTGAAATGTTTTGAGTGCTTTCTTTCTCTTTTCTTCTTTTTTAAGAGCATAGTACTTATCACTGGGATGAGTTTGCTTTTGTTCTAATTATGTCAGGTGTCTTTCTTTTTGTCCGCACAGTATGCACAATCTTAGTTCCCCAGCCAGAGAGCGAACCCATGCCCCTTGCAGAAGCACGAAGTCTTAACCACCTGATGGCCAGGGAAGTCCCTATTTAGGTCAGGTTTTTTAATAGTATTTGGATATAGAGATTTACTTCCGTATGACTCATAGGCCTTTTAATTAAAATTAGTAACTTCCTATTATTTAGTATTGCCATTAAAATAGCACAGTCCTAGGGCCTACTCAGTACCATTCCATATTTGATGCCATGTACTTTCTGAAACAGGTAATGCTCAGGCGGTTTGAAAACCTAGAACAGGGTTTTTTTTTTAAGGCAGTGTAATTGACTGCTCAGCCCCACCCAGGTGTCCTCAAAGAGTCAAAGCTGCTGTCAAATGAAAGTAACACATTTAGAGAAATCAGTGGACGTGGGGGAGGGGGAGACTACGCCAAACTAGAGGCAGGAGGACCGTGGCTTGAATTCCAGGAAAGCATCTGAACCTCTTCAGCTTCCCCATGTACACATTCATAACGATAGGATTAAATAACGGCTGTAAAATAACTCAGTACAGCCTTTAACAGAAAGTAGATAGGCAGCAAATGAGCACTGATGGGAAATGTGAGAAAAACTGTCAGAAACCCTTGTTCGTGGTGCTGGTGGATTTTCACACTGAACAGTTCGCAGGCTTTAATGAAGTGGAAGCGATAAAATACGCAGCAGACGATGACAGGACACTGATAATCCTCTCCAGCTCTTCAGGACATATTCATTTTTAAGCTAATCATCCTTGTAATTTTTCTCAAAACCTGTAAGCCATCAAAGGTGAATTCTGGAGAGAAAAAGATCATACACAGACTAATTCACTTATTGATTTGATTATAAGATTAGTATTCTTTTAATTTCGGTATTACTTTTAACTTGGAAAAGCATCATTGAGGTGGAATGGCACCCAGGATGTATTTCCCTTTTACAGGCGAATAAAGCAATTGTAGCTCTGTGAAATACTGTTTTATGCCTTTTTTATGTCATCCAGTGGTTTTTGAAGCAGGCATTTTAGGGAAAAACAAGTATGGTATTTACAATGGAGTATGGAATAGGGTTTCCCTGGTGGCTCAGAGGTTAAAGCGTCTACCTGCAATACGGGAGACCCGGGTTCGATCCCTGGGTCAGGAAGATCCCCTGGAGAGGAAATGGCAACCCACTCCAGTGTTCTTGCCTGGGGAATCCCATGGAGGAAGGAGCCTGGTGGGCTACAGTCCACGGGGTGGCAGAGTCAGACACAGCTGAGCTACTTCACTTTCACTTTCATGGAATAGACTAGTTCTCCTGGCTTCAGAAAGAAAAAAAAAAAAGCCACATTAACCACAGAAACACTGTCACTTTTCAAATCCAATTGAATGACTGCTTAGAAAAGCCCAGGGTATGTAGACACTTTCTGAAAGGAACATGATTCCAAGGCCCCGCACCCCTACCCTGCAGAGTGTATAATATCATAGCTATGTCATCTGTAATGAAAAAATGTCCCCGATGCAGTTTAGGAGGGAAGGGACCACATCTGGTATATAAATTACTCCAGACATTTTTGAAATGTTTGAATGCTTAGCTGTGGGACAGAATTAATTTCTTCTCAATTCATCACTGGTGATAACGCATAGAAATGAGGTCACTCCTAAGATGTGTCCTGGTAGACATACTCATTGCGTCAGATCATCCGTCTCACACATTTCAAGCTACTTAGTGAGCGTGCCCTGTAAACAGCAGCAACGGCTTAGGAATTTGTGGGTCATAAAAATATCATGGCAGCATCACAGCCCAAGGGGTCATGATTAAATTCTTGTTTTCTTAATATCAGTTTGAAATGCAGTTACCCTGTTCTGGGTCTAAGGGCATCCTCCGTACCCTGTGCCTTGTACTGGCTCTCAGCACCGTCAGAGAGTCTGCCTCTCTTTGAAGGGAGTAAACCTGTACTCTTAGATCTTTGATGAAAAGAAAAGCCTAAAAACAACTAGACCTTGCTCTCTCTTAGGATTCCACAAGTGTATTCTGATTGGTCTTTGGTTTCTCTTGCTGTTATATGTTTCTCTTATGTGTAGAATAATATCTCATAGGTTAAGTGTAAGAAGGAAATGCAATGATGGATGTCAAGTGCTTTAAAATTTATCAGGCCTAAAACCAACACCCAGATTTGAGTATGTGGAGAAAAGCTTGAGGTGGGATTCGGAATTCACAGGAATAGTCATCAAGTTGATTGTAATGAAAAACCCAAGGTCTCTTGTCCACACTTTCACATAAACAGACTTCTTATGGCAAATGATTTTCCTTGGAGAGGGCTAAACGAATGTTCTGAAAAAGGAAGTGGCAAGCATCTTCCTTGGAAATGCCCTCCAGATCCTTGGATGGTCATCAGAGTTGCTGGGGACACTTGCTTTTACTGATGATGATATTCATCTCATTTGCTATCCTGGGATGGTCATCAGAGTTGCTGGGGACACTTGCTTTTACTAATGATGATATTCATCTCATTTGCTAGACTGGCCTCTTCTATGTACTCGCTCAGCCCACAGAATTCAAAGAGCCAGCAGATCCTGAATCTATAGTGTTGTTTGAAACTTTGCCTTGTGATCTGTCAAGTTTTTTCCTAGACAGACTGTTTCATAGACTTCCATCTTTTTGCCTTGTTGAAACAGTTTGAGCAGTTGATTTTAAATATATATGGTAATATAGTTAACAGAAACTCAGCTAAAAGTTTTACTTTAATAAAATATTATTAAATATTTAATAGTTTTTACTTTAAAACTTTTTTAGGTTTGTTTTAAAGGAAATAATTCTTACATGGTTTTTCTTTCCTGCCACCCCTCCTCCCCCCACCCACACACACAGATCAAATGCTCCCATTTACATACTAGTACACACTCCCATGTTCTGCTTAGAGGTTATTATAAACATTCATGTACTTACAACTTGTGCAGATATTAAAGCTCCTTTTGGTCAATAATCTAGTAGGTGCTGACCTCTTAACATAATCTACTAAGAGCAGAAAACTTGTCGACAGTGTGTTCTTGAGAATGATAATGATAACGGTCTTAAATAATGCAAAGTTTTATAATGACCAAAAGTTGTAATTATGCAACTACTAGATTGTTTGGGTTTGGATTTCTTACCAGCATTCTTAGCATGCACACTTGTAAGGAGTGAACGTACTTGCTTCCTTGGAGAGATTGGCTTTTGTCCCAGTCATGCTAGCTTTGCTGTTACGATCCAACCCCAAGGATAAGGCCGAGATTCTGAGAGCATCACATTGAGTATTAATACTGGAGGACTGATTCACTTGTCTTGAAGCATATGCAGATGATAATGCAAACTGACCTCTTAGAATACCTTTTCTGACATCTTCTCTCTATAACTTCATATATCCCACATTGCTGTTTTCCTGTGAGGTTACAACTGACTCCTCTGAATACACCAAAGAATTACTTAAATAAAATGATAATCATATAATGACAAATCACATAATGACAGGAGCGTATTTCTTTGAACCTTTCATTTCACCTTCAGCATCTCAAAGTAGAATAAAACTGGTAAGCTATTCATGGATGTTCTTGACACCTGGCTAGTATTTATTCTTTGGGGGGGGGTATATTCTTAGAGAGAGATGGGGGAACAATATTCTTGGGGGTTTTTTTTTTTTGGATGTTTTATTCTCTTTTTTAAAAAAAATATTTATTTATTTTAATTGGAGGATAATTACTTTACAGTATTGCGATGGTTTCTGCCATATATCGGACCATAGGTATACGCTCCTTTTTCCTTTCTCACTTCTCTTCTGCTTTCCCTGTTTTCACTTTGACTACGTGAGGCCCAGGACCACGCCTGCCATGGTTTTATCAGGGTGCTTGCAGCTCCTCCAGCAGAGCTCTTGAACCTCCGATGGCTCACTCTGTGCCCCCTCCCCCTCTGAGCTGAGTGCAAGTTGCCCAGCAGATAAGACTGACACATTCCTGAGGAGCTGAGCCAGCAGGGACCCTGGGGGCCAGAAAGGCCCCGGGCTTCCGGACAGGCAGCGTGAGATACCAGTGTTCTGCCACTCACTGGAGGAGTCATACTTAGGGTAGAAGCTGCTCCCATATGTTATCATGATTAACATTTATTTTAGAAAGGAATGCGGAAGAGACTGCTTCTCAGGGCCAGAGTCACTGTGTTTGAGTCCTGTAGCCTTGGACCAGGTTTGTGCCCACTCCAAGCCTCATTTCCTCATCTATACATTGAAAATAAATAGTAGTATCTCTATCAAGACGAAATAATACACGCGAGGCTTCAGGCACAATGCCTGACCCAAAGTGCGTCCCCAACTGCTACTTCATGTCAGTACCCTCTCTAAATTGGTAACATCCCACTTTGGAGGTGCTTAGGGGGCACGTGAATTCCATGAAAACTTCAGGAATAACTCCTGGGCTTCAGTTTTGAAGCACCGTTAGCTTGATGCTACCAAGAGAAAAAGATAATGCTGACCTTTACAGAAATGACCTCTGGGGTCTTTTCTGTTTGACTCAAATCTGCAGCTTGTGAAGTAAGTCCCTCCCCCACCCCCACAGGCATCCATGCCTAGTAAACTTGATTATAAACACCACTCAACCATTAAAGCCCAAATGAAGTCAAGTGGGTATTTGATTTCAGGTTTGATTAATGAAACCCAGACCTAAGACTGTAACCATCCTGGATTCTTTACATCTTAAAAACATTTGAGAACTAAAACACTGTGGATACAAGTCATTGAAGTAATGGATGCCCCTTTGAAAGGGACTTTATATCCACTCGTTTTAATGTCTGTGGACTTTTTTTTTAAGTTATTTGTTTTCTTTCCCTTCCCATTATCAGAGAGAATTTTCCTGAGCATAGGTGCTCTGTTTAGGGTTATCTTTGTTTATCCTATAAGCAGGCTACCACATAATCTATGAAATCAAAGGCAGTCTTATCAGCAGGCAAAAATATTTTCTACCCTCCTTTATCCAAGTTATTAGACAAGCTGCAAGAACAGGATCAGAACGATAGAGCCTTGAAGAGGGCTCAGAATCAGTTTGAATTTGTGTGCATTAAATGCGCTTGTCCTGTGAAATAGGAAGAACTTCAATCTTAACTGATGGTGCAAGACAGCAGCTACGTTAAGGATTCTTTTGAAGACAATTAAATGATGGTCATCTGGAAGACGTTAGAAAGATTTGGGGCCTGAAGAGCTGTCATTCAAAGTTTTACATGCCATTTATCTGTATAAATAATACAGATTATTTATCTGTAAAGGGTTTCTTTGAGCTATATCATTATTTCCCAGTGAGGTGGAGTTTTGCTTTGTTTTAAGTACTTCATTTTTGATGAAGCTAAATTACTTTCCTAATTTTAAATTATTACTCTTTGGCAGGAATTTTAAAAAAAAAAGCATTCAGAGTAAAAAAATTGACTCCTGTTCCAAAGAAGAATCTGATTCAAGCGCTTATTTTTTGAATTTTTAAAGATGTTGGCCTTTGAAGTATACAGTTTTTAAAATTAATCATTTGCACTGTTGCTACGACTATACCAATGCATTTTCCTGTCCTATACAGGAAGCTGAAAAAAAGAATTAGGTAATAAAGAACGTTCAAATCTCCTTTCTATATAGAGCTCACTAAATTTTTTAACAGACTACCTATCATTTATCATTTGTCAGAGATAACTAAAAATAGCTTTATTTTTATATTTGAATTTTGATTTGAGATAGAATACATTACAACAGCAAACACTTTATTCACCATCAGCTCAGCTTGGTTACTTGTTCATGTTCCTATTTCTGTGAAAGGAGACATCACTGGCGTTTACTTCTTGGCACGGGGTGGAAATACTTAATGGCTCAACTTAGGGGCTATTGGAAGAATACATGTCTTCGAATGTGGGTTGTTTGTTCTGTGAAGAATAAGAGGCACTTTACAGAACCATTGCAGGGTGCCATTTCACTGTAAAATAGTAATATTAAATGTAAATAAAACAACTTGTGAAATATAAAAGTATTTTTAAACTTCACTTTTTAAAGAAATTTCGAATACTCTTCTCAATTGTAGATATTAATGGATTTAAAGAAACTCAAACATGTCAACTGTTTGGAAAAAATATTTATCCACCAATCATGGTTTCATATCTTTGCTAATGTTATTTCTTTGCCTTGTAGGCGTCTAAATACTTTAAACAAATGTGCGGTGATGAAGCTGGAAATTAGTCCTCATCGGAAAAGAGTGAGTATATAAAATGTATCATAGGGTAGGAGCAAAGGAGAAGATGAAAAACTGGATTATGTGTTTTGTGATAGATTTTGTTGCACAAATTCTTATTTCCTTGTTCTAAAAATACCTACATTTTAAATGTTATAATCCAGGCAGGTTTACCAAAAACTGTGTAGCCTTATGTAGTTGAAACCAATCGCTGCAGCTAGCCAATAATCTGTGTCTCGCCTGCTATTTTTGATCTGAACAGATTTTCTGTGATTTTGCCTCATTAACTCAGTGCCTACAACATATTAAAGGGATGAGGCTTAAGGAATTCCGGTGCATTTTGCATTGCCTCTCTGCAGAAACTGCAGCTGAAGCTCTTGGGAACTCTGTCTTCCCACGTGTAACAGAACCTGTGTTTTGAAGCTGTAGAGATGGCAGGGAAGGCTGGCTGGTGGGATATGGAAGACTAGAGCTTTGAAGGGAGAAAAGGAATTAGAGGAGAAAGAGGGAGGGCTGGAAATCCCACACATTCTAGTGAAATGCCTGCACATAACTGATTCGGATGGTATTTTCTCCTGTGTTTGAAATGTGAGGACGTCTTATGAGATCTTAGGAGAAGAGGTGGGTGTAGTGGTGGGAGTGAATGCCACAAATTAGAGTAAACAGAAGTGAGTTTGGTCAAAGAACATATTTTTCACTGTCAAGAGTACCGATTTTAATTATCTAACCTGCCCCAAGTTGCCTTCTTGGGGGAGTTAAACCTTTTAAACAAATGAGCGGGAACCTCACCTCACACTGTGAGGAGCTGTGGAGAAGAGCCTGCAGGTCAGCGTTCAGTGCTCTCCACCCACTGTCCCAGGAGACCCTGCTCACAGGAGACGTTCCACATGCATCACACTGAGCTGTGCCTCTTGATATCCCATCAAGGGGCTCGGATGCAATAGTCTGTCACAGTGGAACCCTGGGTCCCGTCTTTAAGTCAGGCATCACCAGCAGAGATGTTCTGTCAGGTGTGCGCATGTTACATGCCGGCAGAACTGCGTATTTGTGAAACCTTATTAAATGGGCTGGACCATGCCTGAGTTTGAAATGTCATAGGACTCTTGTGGCACTAACTCTGGTTCCCATGTTGGTGGGGGAGGAATGAAAAGGAACAGGGAAGAGGCTGAGAGTGTTCGGGAACCACCATTTTAGTTGCAAAAGGGAATGTAAACACATACTATCAACAGACAGCAAAACTGGAGGCAGACCAGAGGGAGTCCTACCCGTTGCTGATTCCAGTTCAAAATATTTTACATGCCTGGAATTTTCACAGATCTCAGAGGTTTCCTCTGTGAGCAATTTAAGAGCAGCCTATAGATCCCAGAGTTTCCATAAAATAACTCTTATTTAGCTTGAAACCCTTGCTCAGGCTTTTTCCTGTGAAATGCTTACATTTATCTTGGTTATTTTAAAAAATAATAATAAAGCTGTAAGGCGGGGAGGGGTATTGACATGAATGGCATTCTGGTCAGTCTCCTGGCCCCTGGGCCTCGGGTCATGCCCTGCCCCGTGCTGTCTGCCGGTTTCAGGGAACGAATGGTTCCCTTCTGTCTTTGCAGAGCGAGGATTCCGACGAGGACGAGCCTTGTGCAATAAGTGGCAAATGGACTTTCCAGAGGGACAGCAAGAGGTGGTCCCGGCTTGAAGAGTTTGACGTCTTTTCTCCAAAGCAGGACCCCATCCCTGGGTCCCCAGACGCTGTCCACCTGAAGAGCGCCCCAAGCCATGAAAGTATGCTGACGGACCTCAGCGATCGCCAGGAGGTGGCTTCTGTCCGCAGCACCTGCAGCCTCACCACCCACGCGCCCCAGCGTGGGGAGGCGGCCCCAGCCCGGACTAATTCCGTCCTCAGCGTCTGCTCCTCCGGCACCTTTGTAGGCAACGATGACTCCTTCTGCAGCCTGCCCTCTCCCAAGGAACTGTCCAGCTTCAGCTTCAGCATGAAGGGCCACGAGAAGACCAAGTCCAAGACGCACAGCCTGCTGAAGCGCATGGAGAGCTTAAAGCTCAAGGGCTCCCACCACAGCAAGCACAAGGTGCCTTCCAAGCTGGGTCTGATCATCAGCGGGCCCATCCTGCAGGAGGGGGTGGACGAGGAGAAACTGAAGCAGCTGAACTGCGTGGAGATCTCCGCCCTCAATGGCAACCACATCAACGTCCCTATGGTACGGAAGAGGAGCATCTCCAGTTCCACACAGACCAGCAGCAGCAGCAGCCAGTCTGAGACCAGCAGCAACGTGAGCACACCCAGTCCCGTCACCAGGACCCGGAGCCTCAGCGCCTGCAACAAGCGGGGAGGCATGTACTTGGAGGGCTTCGATCCCTTCAATCAGTCCACGTTCAACAACGTCATGGAGCAGAACTGTAAAAACCGGGAGAGCTACCCGGAGGACACGGTGTTCTACATCCCAGAAGACCACAAGCCCGGCACCTTCCCGAAAGCCCTTTCCAATGGCAGTTTCTCTCCCTCAGGGAATAACAGCTCTGTGAACTGGAGGACCGGGAGCTTCCACGGCCCCGGCCACATCAGCCTGAGGAGAGAAGACAGCAGCCCCAAGGAACTTAAGAGACGTAACTCCTCGAGCTCTGTGAGCAGCCGCCTGAGTATCTATGACAACGTGCCGGGCTCCATCCTCTATTCCAGCTCGGGTGACCTGGCCGATCTGGAGAACGAGGACATCTTCCCCGAGCTGGACGACATCCTCTACCACGTGAAGGGGATGCAGAGGATAGTCAACCAGTGGTCGGAGAAGTTTTCCGATGAGGGAGACTCCGACTCGGCCCTGGACTCCGTCTCACCGTGCCCGTCCTCTCCCAAGCAGATACACCTGGACGTGGACAACGACCGAGCCACCCCCAGTGACCTGGACAGCACAGGCAACTCACTGAACGAGCCCGAGGAGCCCTCTGATATCCCGGAGAGGAGGGATTCTGGGGTCGGGGCCTCCCTGACCAGGTCCAGCAGGTACGTTTCTCTTACCTGTTGGGGGTGAGGGGCAGGAGATCAGAAAGGGGCTGCTTCTGCTTGCTGTGTAGGGGACATGGGATTGAGCCATTTATAGCCATGAAATTCCTAAGGAAAGTGCTAGATGGGAAAATCCTATCATCCTAAAAGATTAATGAACATCGTTCACTGGGTACCAGAATTTCAGTTTGGGAAGAAGTCAGTTCTGTGGCTGGATAGCGGGGTTGATTGACTGTACAACACTTTGTCATTGTTGTTGCTTAGTCGCTTCAGTCGTGTCCAGTTCTTTGTGACCCCATGGACTGCAGCCCACCAGGCTCCTCTCTCCATGGGATTTCCCAGGCAAGGATACTGGAGTGGGTTGCCATTTCCTCCTCCAGGGGATCTTCCCGACCACAGGGATTGAAGCCACGTCTCCTGCCTGACAGGCGGATTCTTTACCACTGAGCCACCAGGGAACCCCAACACCGTGGATATGTTTAATGCTTCATGTACTTGAGTGAGTGAAAGTCGCTCAGTCGTGTCCGACTTTTTGCAACCCCATGGACTATACAGCCCATGGAATTCTCCAGGCCAGAATACTGGAGTGGGTAGCCTTTCGCTTTTCCAGGGCATCTTCCCAACCCAAGGATTGAACTCAGGTCACCCGCCTTGCAGGTGGATTCTTTACCAGCTGAGCCACAAGGGAACTTAACTGTATACTAAAAGTGGTTAAACGAGTAAATTTTATTTATGTATATACTTTACCACAGGATAAAATAAAAATAGACTGGAATGGAAATTGAATCTTCTCAGTTCCTAAGATTAGAGGCCAGTGAGCGACCCACTGCTGACTGTGTGTCAACCCACTAAAAAGCTTTCATACTCACATTCCACCCCCTTCTCTCTCAGGCACAGGCTGAGATGGCACAGCTTCCAGAGCTCTCATCGGCCGAGCCTGAACTCCGTGTCACTGCAGATTAACTGCCAGTCTGTGGCCCAGATGAACCTGCTGCAGAAGTACTCCCTCTTGAAGTTAACCGCCCTGCTGGAGAAATACACGCCTTCTAATAAGCATGGCTTTAGCTGGTAAGGGTTTAAACTGCCCAGTGAACCATATTTGAAAACATTTTCAACCAGCGCTGTCCCAGCACTGAGGGTGTAACAGGTGGATCCTGTATCTTGAGTTCATTGTCCCGACGCTCTAAGTGTCTACATTCTTGAATCCACGTGCAATACTGCTTAAGCTGGTATAGCTTTAGGGAATTTCCATCGGGGCTGGTTGAGTTTTCAGCACTAGGAGTGACAAGCTGCCAGTTGATAGGGTGAGACCGCTTTAGTCTTCTACTTCACTGTCCAGGCGCTTCCTTCCCAGTGGTAGGAATAGCCCACCACAGGCAAATACATGTACATGATCAGATCATATTTTGGAAGGAAGGGAAGAAAACTTTAGATCATGGGATGTTATGAGAGCAACTTTGAAATGCTTGATGTACAGTGCTTGGCTTTGTAACCCTCTTCATGCACGTTTTTTAGAAATCATGTTTGATTGATATAGGTATCTGCACTATCACAAAAATCTACCTGGGCTAAAGAGTTTAGGTTATGTTTTTTCCAACAAAGATTCTTGAGCAGTGAATAACAAAGGAATTCACCACTCTAATATATTATAAACAAAAATAATGTACAAAAATAAAATTTATTGAACTGTCCACACTTTGGTTTGGTCCTTGGTGTATTTACTGTGAGATGTAGACTGCTTGGCTGAATAGGTCATGGACAGGAGCCATTATGTGCATATTTTTTTCTACTGAGTGCAAAGCAGATAAATGTCTCTACATTGACATCCCAGCACATTTTGCAGTGTCAGCTGGGTATCCTTCAGTCTTTTCACTAATCTAAGTGTTCATTATCCACTTGCACAATTTTAGTTCTTTATAAAAATGGAGACTCGGTCCATTTCATTAGCATCACTTGGTAGCAAAACCAGAATCAGTGCAGCAACGTAACTTCTCTCCCCAGCTCCTCCCCTCCTTGGGACTCGTAGTGAGGTTAACTTCGGCATCAAAGCATCTCCTGTTCAAAGGCTGTTATTATGTGAGCCCTGCTAAATACAGAAGTTGTTTGTTCTGAATGACAGAAATAAGTATTGACTGGTTTATCCCCCACATGCTTCAGATTCTCGGTGGAGATCGTAATGTGTTCCTTGTACATTCCGCCGCTGGGCTTTTCTCCCCGACAAAGCAAGTATTATGCGTACTCAGAGCCGCGATCCATATACTTCACTGTATGGAAATACAGATTTGGCCCTGCGCTTCAGTTTTACCTTTCCTAGAGCCATAAACAGTAACACACCGTGGCTGTGGGTTTAGCACTCTAAAGTCAAGGCAGTCTGCCTTCCGCAGTGTTCCTCTGTGCTTCAAGCCAGAGTTTCCCTGCTGGCTATTTAAAACTGCATATTTCACATTCTCAGTTCTGAGTGGCCCACCGCCCCACCCCCCCCACCTCACCACCAAACCCTCAAGAATCTGAAAGTCCAGAATACTTCTTGAGTTCTGGTCAGTTTTTCCAGTGAGGCAAAACCAAACGTTAAAGCCTCATACTGTGGGATCCATGGAGTAAGGAGAAATTCTACACAAAGTTCTTTTCCTGTTCAGCTTTGCCCTTTCTTGTCCCATTCAGAGAGGTCATTTGTAGAGCTGAAATTTCTGCTTGACAGCATTAAATACATGACATGGGTTTCCTGCTGTTGCACACACTGCTGAGGCTGGACCTGGTGTCAGGACTCCAGGGAGCCTGGGGTAGGCTCACAAAACCCTCATTGTTCTCCTCTGTCTTCCTTTAGAAAGCTAAAGATGTTATGTTCTCTCGGGTCATCAGCAGGAGAATTTATTTTGACTTCAAGTCATTAGCTTGCCTTCCCCCACCCCCGCCACATTGAGCTCTGGAGTTAGTTCTCATTATGTGAGACCAACATCACGTATTTGCTTTTTTTTTTTTTGCATCCTGATCTTTTTTTTATCCTAAGTACTTTGGGATCTCATCAAGAGCTTAGAAATGATTCTCATCCATTTTCAGGACAAATGGGAACTTGTTTCTCAGCTCTGTCCTGAAGTGCCTACTTAGGGTCTTGACTGTAGCTTTCTCCTCTTGTTCCTATGCCGCCATTTTGGAAGGAAGCCCATCTTCTCCCTTAAGAAAATAGACCCCATTCTCAGAACTAACAGTGGAGGGAGAATCCCCAGCTGAGGAAATGTCATTGGGCCTCATGGCCCCAAATGTTAGAAAATCTAGAACAGCACTGTCCGGTGGGATTTTCTGTAGTGGTAGGAATGTTCCATATTTGCACAGTCCAGTAGTAGCTACCAGCCACAAATGGCTATCAAGCACTTAAAATGTGACTGATATGACTGAGGAACTGAATTTGTAATTTTGTTTAATTTAAATTTAAATAGCCACATTATTAGCACAGATCTAGAACCCACAGGGCTTACCTGCAGAGACGGACAAAATGTGCAGAAGACGAGTAATCATATCCCTCCCAACTCCAATATTTTTTCAATAGGGCTGTGCCCAAGTTCATGAAAAGGATCAAGGTTCCAGACTACAAGGACCGGAATGTATTCGGGGTCCCTCTGACGGTCAACGTGCAGCGCACAGGACAGCCCCTCCCCCAGAGCATCCAGCAGGCCATGCGCTACCTCCGCAACCATTGTTTGGATCAGGTGAGAGCCGATGTCTGCAGGTCCCACTTAATCATGGGAGCTCAGGTGCATGCATCATTTTCTAGCTCTGCCGTGAAAATGTTGCTTTCCTCTTGACACTTTACATTTTGTTTTGTTTTTCCAACAAAGGTTGGGCTCTTCAGAAAATCGGGTGTCAAATCCCGGATTCAGGCTCTGCGCCAGATGAATGAAAGCACCACAGATTGTGTCAACTATGAGGGACAGTCTGCTTATGATGTGGCAGACATGCTGAAGCAGTATTTTCGAGACCTTCCTGAGCCACTGATGACGAACAAGCTCTCAGAAACCTTTCTGCAGATATACCAGTGTGAGTGTTCTTTGACCTTGACATGGTTGTTGGTGGGAGAAGTGGGGTTAGCCAAAACCTGTAGCTCCTTTGATGCCCTTCTTTTGGACCCACATCGTGACCTCTTAGAGACAGGTCATCAGTTTTTGTTTTCTTTCTTTTTTGCCTTCTTGTTTGCAAAACAGATTTCTCTACATCTGTTGAGTAGTGAAGGAAAAACTCCTTTGTCATCGTTCTCCAGTTACTAAGCAATTGTACATCTTTACATTCAAATCCAGGAACTCATTTTTTTTCATTCATTTCAAGACCAGTGTTAATCTAACATACTTAAAAGAACAGATTCCAAGATATCTCTCTCTACCTTGTCTATAAGTATTTCAGTTGCTTCACTTCTCTCTAGCAAAGCCTGTTGTGTTTAAAATTTCACAGGTGTCCATGTGTTTTATCTTGCTGTAAAATGAATAAATAATCTTTCTGTTATGCATCTCAGCTTCTGCCAGAAATAGTTGGGGAAACAATCCCCATGCCCATCTCACTTTTAAGTAAAGCTTAAAGCAAACAGTTGTCTAAGTTGATGATCAAGATCAGGATTGTAGCTTTCACAGCCTTGTGTTTTCCTTGGCTCAGTGTGGTATTACAGCAATGTAATTTAAAAGCACCTTCTCTCCAAGCTACAATTGTCTTTAGAATTGGCGCATGGGACTTGACTTTATGAGAAGTGGAGCTGGTCTGGATTATTTCATTATTTGTTTCATCCTTTCAGATTTTATGAAAACACAGGTCACATTTCCCCCACCAAGGTATTTGTTATGTATTGTAACCATGGAGCTGTTTAATCAGTTTGTCCTATGGAGCTGCGTTTGAGTGACTTGAATTTTCCACCACATGCCTTTTAAAAGAAAAATTTGCCTAGTATAAGAGACCTGAAAGTTGGGTTCAGCATTTTCTACCTGTATTATTAGTTTATACATATATATACATTATATTATATTGTTATATTGTTTATATTTTTATGGGTTTATTTCTCAAGCATGTATTTTTACTACTAGCCTCTCAGTACGCTTTCCAGAGCTTAAATTACTACATAAAAAACATATCTGTTGTTTAAATTGAATATTTTAGCAGCTTCCTTTCCTCATTTAAAGAATGAGCAGATTAACATTAGGAAAGTCCTCAGATATGCTGAACACTTTGTAGTCAAAGTGAAGAAATCTCAGTTTTCGTACTCTTGTGTCTTTAATAAATTTCTCATTGAAACTGAACAAAAGTATAAGCCTATAATGTTCAGTAATTGAGAATGGTAAACTAGGAGTTTTGAAAAAAGTTCTTAGAAAAGAAAGAAACCAAACTTCCATAAACTAAAAGAAAACAGCAGACATCATCTGGAGTTGAACTCTGAGGTGGATTTAGGAGTATATTGGCATGGTGGGTGTTTAAAATTCTCAGATCCTCCACAGGCAGGAAATACTTGAGGGTAGTGATGGTGGTGGCTGTCCCTAATTTCTTCCATATTAACCTCAAGTACACTTTCTGCAAGTGCTCGTTCAGTGCTGGGCTGAGGTCTTTGGTGTCGATATTTGCTTTGGGAACGTTTCCTTGCAAACGTACATGGAAAATCACTGGGTTGACGGGAGAAGTGCTGGTGTCGCGCAGATGTGCCCAAGGACCAGCGTCTCCAGGCGATCAAGGCCGCCATCATGCTCCTGCCCGACGAGAACCGGGAGGTCCTGCAGACGCTCCTCTACTTCCTGAGCGATGTCACTGCGGCCGTCAAGGAGAACCAGATGACCCCCACCAACCTGGCCGTCTGCTTGGCGCCTTCCCTCTTCCACCTCAACACTCTGAAGAGAGAGAACTCCTCCCCGAGGTGCGGGTCCAATGCGCTGCGCACGCCCTTGTGACAACGCGCTCTGCACGCGTGGTGACAGTGCGCATGCCCCGTGACAATGCGCATGCCCCGTTGTTCAGACAGCGGCAGCTTCCCTGTCCTGATAGAGCTGTCCGCGTGTTTTTTGTTGTGTTAATACCTGAATCCAGCAAAACGGAGTTTGGCCTCCTTTTGCAGCCCACGTTCCTCACCTCTGCTTCTCCCATCCGTCCTACTCAGCCCTGGGGGTGTGGCCTCCTAGACAATCTAGTTTCAACCCGTTTTTGAGAAACGTTTGCATTCCTGCTTTGCCACGGCAAGGGTTTCCCCTGACCCTCCGCCAGTGCCCTCGGTAACGTGGTCATCATACTTTCTGCCTGCAAAGAATCATGAGGGTTTACTGACCTCCAAAATAGTCCTGGCTTCTGCATAAATAAAACCAATCTGGCTTGGCCTCTGCAATAGAACCGACCTGCTGGCCTGTGCCGGAGGTTGAAAGGAGCTGGATGTGAAATAAGTAAGGATAGTGTTCGGCCTTAAAAGTTAAGAGCCCGGCTGAGCCAATGTTGCAGAGTTTCGCCTTAGATGTAGAGAATGTGAAGTGACTGTGGAAGTCGAGGAATCTGGAAAATAACGAAGGCTGATGTTTGCTCAGTACTTATTTTGTCCCCAGCAAGGGGCTACACCCTGGACTTTCATTATCAACTTTAATCCTCCTAACAGTTGAAGGAGGCAAAGCTGCTGTTACTATCTATTTTATACATGAGGTGGGACTGCGGGGCAGGTCCATTAAGTAACTAACTTGCTTCTGTCTGATGGGGAAAAAAATGGCAGAGGAACTTCTTTCTTACATGAATATTTCATATAAAGTAGGAAAGGAGTCATTAACTCCTTTCTACCAAATTCATCCTGCTGATCCTTTTCCTCAACTCTAAAGGAACTTGACAGATAGTTCTCAGCTGTTGGGATGGGGTCAGCCTAGTTGTGTTAGGTGAAGTTAGCTTTGCTTCTGAAAGACATACAATGCTTAATTAACTAGTTCTAACCATTGACTAGAGCATTCCTGCTTTAATGGGAGAGAGAACTAAAGGGGAGCAGTAGAAAGAGATCAGATAAGATTAAGACAAAACCTCTAGGAAACAATAGACTTTTCTCTCACCAACAGGAGGGGCTCCTGTTTAATTTTAATCTGTAAAGAATGATCCTATTTACCCCAATGAACTGTGCTTCCCACCCACCCACCAGTCAAAGCTGCCTTTCCTTCTCCCCACCCCACATGTTTAGACCTTATAAGCTTCCCTGTTTCAATAGGAGCCTATTTAACATGGTGGTTTTATTTTTATGGGCTGCATAGTATGGGGGAATCTTAGCTACCTCGACCAGGACTCGAACCCATGCCCCCTGCTTTGGGAGCTTAGATATGTAATCACTGGAAGTCCCTAACATGATGGTTTTAAGTAGCGAGGATTTCATCAGAGATGGTCTCTTTCATGTTTTTTGTATGTTGTTAATACAACTGAGAAATTTTAGTGACCAAAATAAAATTCTCTTCAACTACTTAATGTCAAATAAGCTCCAGTGAAATAGCCTTTTTCTCTCCTTTAGGTTTCCTAGAATAACACACTGATTAAAAATATATAAACATTTGAATCTTGCCTATTCTCATTTCTCTCTCTAGGGTAATGCAAAGAAAACAGAGTTTGGGCAAACCAGATCAGAAAGATCTGAATGAGAATCTCGCTGCCACTCAAGGGCTAGCCCATATGATTGCTGAGTGCAAGAAGCTTTTCCAGGTAGGGAGATGGAAAGTTTTGTTATTGGTTGAGGATAATGTAAATAGGGGCAACATCTTGGGCTCCATACTTGTTCACATCATAACCAAAAGATCTTTTTCAAGCTAGAAATTATATATGTAGTCTGAGAATGTCTTATTTATGTATTTTATGTTATATAAGCTCAGTAGAGTTAATATATTTCATGAAATTGCCAACCTTCATACCCCTTTACTTAGAAAACAAAAACTACAAATTATCTGAAGTAAATTCTGTATTTGAGGTGCAACCACTATGGGAAACAGTACCGCATTTCCTCAAAAAATTAAAGATAGAACTACGTTATAATCCAGCAATTCCACTCGTAGGTGTATATCCAAACGAAAAAAAAAACCACTAAACCTAAGTGTCCATCAACAGATGAAAGGATAAAGAACTAAAAAATATGTGGGGTGTGTCTGTGTGTGTATATATAAAATGAAATACTACTCTGCCACTAAAAAAGAAAAAAGAATGAAATTTTGAGTTTTGCCATTTGCAGCAACATGGATGGACCTGGAGGGCATTATTCTTAGTATAATAAGCCAGACAGGGAAAAACAAGTACTGCATGCACCTGTCTGTACTTATATGTAGAACCTAAAAAATAAGACAAAAGAATTAATACAATGAAACAGAAACAGACTCACAGGTATAGAGAACAAAATAGTTTTTTGAGGGGTTAAACCACAAGATATATTGTACAGCACAGGGAATATAGCCAATATTTTATCGTAACTTTAAATGGAGTATATAAAAATTTTTTAGATCACTATGTTGGACTCTTGAAAGTATTATAATATTGTAAAATTAGCTATATTTCAATTAAAAAAAATTCTGTGTCTTCATCAGTGTACGCCTTGTTTTAGTCACTGTCTTCTATTGTAACTTCTTCCTAAAGAGGAGGCCCTCACACAAGAATAAGCTTTCTAGGTACCTTAATCAAAATGCTCTGCTTGCATCCTCGTGATACCATGTGAAGTCAGCAGGGACACCCTTCACCTGGGAAGCAGGGGGATTAGACTGCTTTCACAGCCTTGAGGATCCTGCCACTTCCACCGATGGGCAACAGACATCCTTTTTGTCTCTCGTGTCACTCCCAGGTTCCTGAGGAAATGAGCCGATGTCGAAATTCCTACACCGAACAGGAGCTAAAGCCCCTTACCCTTGAAGCGTTAGGACGCCTTTGTAATGATGAGTCAGCGGACTACCAACACTTCCTCCAGGACTGTGTGGACAGCCTGTTTAAAGAGGTCAAAGAGAAGTTCAAAGGCTGGGTCAGCTACTCCACATCTGAGCAGGCTGAGCTCTCCTATAAGAAGGTGAGTTGTATCCTTGTTGTCAGCCATTCGAGTCTGGTGGTTGGGACTTGGATTCATTAGAGACCAGACCCTTTTGCCAACACAGTTCTCTGTGGCGGTCTGTCACCCATTGCCTTTGTTCTAGAACTGGGCAGATAGGTGATTCATATCCCTGAGGTAAGAGTGGAAACCAGTTCGTTGAGGGATGGTACACTCATTGAACCTCACGTCAGAGGAAACTAGCTAGTGAAATCCTTTGGCTCCATAGAATCATGCAAGAGTTTCCAGGAATGTTTCTCTAATGGTCTTGGGCCTTAGGGCGTTTTATGAGGAGCTCGGCTGTCTCCATCCTTTGATTGGAATCCCCTCAGGCTCTCCTCTGTTCTCAGTCACTCTTCCCCTGGCCCTCTAATGAGCAGGGAGTGCTGGGGGCAGGGATGGTTGGTTTAACTTGAAAGCCCCTTGAGGGCAGAGGTATCCTGTGTGACTTTGCATGCTCATGGAGGTATTTGTTGACTTTTCTCTACCAAAAAGAAAGAAACCTTGAGCACAGTCCGGATGGCCATGCAGGTTTGGATGTGCCAACAGATCTTACTTTCATTGCATTGACCGTAATATGGGTCCCAGGAAAATAGATAAAACCGGAGGTGATGCCAGCAGTCTTATCTGTTTTCTGTTCTGATCTTGAATATACTTGAGGTCAGCAGCCTGTTAAAGTCAGAAATAAGCATTTAGGTCCCTTACCTGGCTAGCAGTTTGTCTTAAGAGTCCAGATGTGTGGGGACTGTCTCAGCACTGAAAAGTCCATCCTCTTCTCAGGTGAGTGAAGGACCACCTCTGAGGCTTTGGAGGGCAACCATCGAAGTCCCTGCAACACCCGAGGAAATCTTAAAGCGCCTCTTGAAAGAACAGCACCTCTGGGATGTAGACTTGTTGGATTCAAAAGTGATTGAAATCCTGGACAGCCAGACTGAAATTTACCAGTACGTCCAAAACAGTATGGCGCCCCATCCTGCTCGGGACTATGTCGTTTTGAGGTGAGAGCTTCCGGATTGATTATTGTGGCAAGAATGAGCTTATATGTCTCTGAATGTTATATTAAAATTACCTAAAATAGAACATACGCTTCCATAAAAGCATTGAACCCTTCCAGATAAGAAAGATGACATCTGCATTTATTCCAGCATTGTGTCCATCCCTAAAAATGGTTTGAAGTCTTGGAACTGTGCTCAGAGAGAGAGGCACAGTCCATCAGATGTGCTCAGTGGTAGCTATTTTTTCCCCTTTAGGATAGATTTTCTCAGAAATAGCTAGTGAATGCATCAGCCAGGAAATAACATTTGGGTCCCAAGTGAGCTGTGGTTGAAGCTGATTTATATGTAATTCCTACATTCTCTGAAGACTTTATTAAAGGAAGAATTTCAAAAATCTTTGAGGAAATGTCACATCATTAGTCCAGAACTTCTCCAACAGAGTAACATTTATTTGGACGTCCACGTTCTAGTACATTTGTGAAACATAAAAAGGGTTTTCAAATTCACTTCAGTTTGGTTTTCTTTCAAAGAACTGACTGTGTGAGCTTGTATACCCACTGCACAAGGGGCTCTGTACAGAGTGAGCCATTCGTGAGTTCCTGCACAAGGATGCTTTCTGCCCAGGCATCAGGGTCACCAGGGTGCCCCATCCTGCCTTTCAGCTCCCTCCTGTAAGAGTGAGGCCCCATTTTAAACTTGGCTTCCAGGAACTTCCCATTTACTCCCCCTCTCGTTTTGTCTCTGCAGAACATGGAGGACTAATTTGCCCAAGGGAGCGTGTGCCCTTTTACTCACCTCGGTGGATCATGACCGGGCCCCTGTGGTGGGAGTGAGGGTCAATGTGCTCCTGGCCAGGTATCTGATCGAACCCTGTGGGTCAGGGAAATCCAAACTGACCTACATGTGCAGAGCAGACTTAAGGTACGTTCTGATGCTGATTTTTTTTTTTTTATATCGTGAGTGAGGGGCATAAAGTAGACTCAGACTTTTTGTCTGAATGCCCTCCCCCCCCCCAAAAAAAAAATGGCTTAAATGAAAATCCATCCTTGCATCTTGGATGCTCCATGAAGAGCAGTGTTGATAAAGTAACTCCTTCACATTTCTTGGTCTTCTGGGTACCACTTGCTAATTTCCACCCCTTAGAGAATGTAGTATTAAAGCAATGCAGATATGGCGGTTCTGCCATGAGCTTAAAGCCACAGGAAATGAGAGTTTGAATCAGCAAGCCAAATAATATGACATGCCCTTTTAGTAGTTAATTAGGCCTATGCTCTGTGTCTTAGATCAGTGTGAGTTCTTATCAAAACATGAATGAAATGCAGCAATACCAACAAGAAAAAAAAATCAACCTCTGAAAACTTTCCAAAGTGGCTCTCCTGTTAAATCAATTCTTGTTTGAAGTCTTTACATTGTCGTACTTCAAGTATCTGTTATCTGTTTTTGTTCCATATGCCTGAGCTCTCCTGGACAGTTATACCCAGTCTGTGTGTGTGAGTTGCTCGGTCATGTCTGACTCCTGTGACCCTGTGGACTGTAGCCCTCCAGGCCTCTGTCCATGGGATTCTCCAGGCAAGAATACTGGAGTGGGTTGCCATTTCGTCCTGCTGGGGATCTTCCCGACCCTGAGATAGAACCCAGGTCTCCTGCATTGCAGGTGGATTCTTTACCATCTGAGCCACCAGGGAAGCCCAGTCTCACCCAGTATCTGCACTCAGTATGCTATTCCTTGGGGAACTTCTGGTTCCGTAAGTGTAATGAAGGTGCCAGGAGATTACTTTGGAATAGTAAGAGAGATCTTTACTTGCACATTTGCTGACCAAGAAAGAGAAGTGTATTCAGAACTCCCTTCAGCTGATTCAGGGTTTTCCAGCTTGAATAATTTGTTTGCATTTCCTTTCTTTCTGTCGTAGGGGCCACATGCCAGAGTGGTACACAAAAGCTTTTGGACATTTGTGTGCAGCTGAAGTGGTAAAGATCCGAGACTCCTTCAGTCATCAGAACACTGAAACCAAAGACACCAAATCTAGGTGATTCCTGAAGCGTGTCCACTGTCTGGGCGTTTGTTTCTAGAACACTTGCCAGTTCTTGGAAGATTGGGTTCAGTGTCTGATCCTGAAACGAAACTACAAATTGGAGAGTGGGAATTGACTGTAGGGATTTGATACCTTTTTAAAGCTGCTTCCTGTTTGTGTAAGGTCTGTATTATGGACCTTGACTGGAATATATGACTGTGCAAAAAAAAAAAAAAAGTATTCTTATTTGAATTGCTTCTGAGAAGCAAACTTTAACTATATTAGGGAAGATAATGAAGAGACTTCATTTTCCTGCAATGTCAGTGTCTGTGTACGTGTACCTGTCATTTTCTTTGCAGTGCGTGGAGGGATGGGTGTATCCACTGGAATAGTTGGTCCTCTTTGACATGTTTTCTCACTGAGAAGAACAAAGAAAGGTTTGCACAGAGGAGTGCGTGTATGTGTGTCTGTTGCTGGTTGAATGGCAGAGATGCGTAAGTTGGGCCGCAGTGTCTGGCACGCTGAGACACCTCCAAGAAGGATTTTGATGCACCAGGTTCAGTTTAACCTGGAATATCTGACTACCCATGGAATCGTCCAGAAAGGGAACCCATTTATTTTGGGGTGTTGGACAACCCACCCATGTCTTTTTTTCTTTTCTTTTCTGAGTTAGTAGACATATTCCTTTTCCATCAGCCTCTTCTTTGCCTTAAAAGTGATTGTAATAAATTTACTCAGATAGCCCCTTTTGAACACAGTTTGCCTCTAGATCTGATTGCAAGGAGCAAAGTTGGTTTTATCCAGTACAGGTGAATTCAGGGATGGAAATTCTTCCTTGCTAGCACCAAAGCAATTTTGTTTTGTTTTGGTTTTTAAGTTGAGATGTGAAAACTGACCACCCTAATGTCTACTTCTGAATCAAGTATCAACACTTTCTATGTATCTGCAAGTTCTTTGCATGTCTGTGTTAGGAGAAACTCTTTAAGGCACTGTGTATGGGAACACAGGAAACTTATGTCCCAAGGAACTCCTTGCAAATGTAACCCAACCAAAAAGTGGCTTGTTGTCGTTATGGCAGCATTTTTGAAAGCTGCGTATGTTTATTAATTGGATTTGTCTTCATCAGCAAAGAGAGTTTGTTTTGTTTTTCCTATATTTCTTTTTCTTCTCTTTTCTGAAGCCCTTGGGATAGATTTTAGTAATAGAAAGTTGTAATCACAGTAAAAACAAATAAAAATACACTAGTGCAGGGTTTTGGAAGGGTGGTCTTTATACAGGTTTTACTGTAATAGTAAAGATTGGCTCAAAAGACAGTATTAGTGAAATTTATTTTATATGGATCAAAAGTGAATAATGTATGAATGAGAGTTGTAAGAAGGATTTTAATTTTGTTATAATTTAGTTACCATTGTCAGTGTTATTTCAAAGGTTCTTTGAAGAATTAAGGGGCAGGGGACAGATCAGAGTTTAATTTGAGTATTTTGGATATTAGTGTTCCTCATGAAGATATACTTGTATATTCAATTTTAATGGCCTTCAGATTTGTAAGATTGTATGTTGTATATACCATTCTATTAAGAAATATGTACACCTACCTGTCCACTGTGCTTTCCAACATAGATAAAGCATGATAAAAATTATTATTTAAAATATACTTGTATTTATACCTCAGATATTCTTTTGGATTTTGTACCTCAAGGCTTTTTGGTTTGTTTTTTGTTTTTTGCTAATGTAAATACACTTTACATGAATACAGTCTAAGTGAAAAAAAGTAAATAAAAGAAGAGGTTTATAACTTGCTCTATATCTGTACAGAATATAATCAATAAGTGCACTATTAAATGTTTAAAGTAAGGGAAACGTCTGGCCTGCTTTCCATTGTATTGCATCTCTCTACCACCCTTCAAACCACAGATGGCAAGGCTTACCATCCTAGCATCAACTGAAATGAAAATACAGATTTGCTGCAGGAAAAAATCAGACTGCAAATCATTCCAAGGCCAAACTGCAACTGAGCCACTCACTCACAAACAGGAAACCCTGGTGAAGGTTCAGGAAGCATGGAGATGCTCGCCAAACAAAGGTCACAAGGAAACGATGCTGAGAAAGTTACAAGAATAAGCAACAGCAACCGAAAGATGCTCATAAGCAAAGCGAAGGTCATGGATTCATTCCATAAAAGGTCTCTTTCCCACTCTTTGCTTTCCTGTTCAAAGGATTCCTTACATATTTGACCAGAGGAGAATGTGAAGGATATGAACATTTTCAAGAAGTCCGCTTTAAGCCACCTACAGTGATATTGCCCCAGCTTACTAATTGTGACTAATTGCCTGGGTTGTGAGCTCTCTGAGAGCAGGGCTCTTCTATCTGTCTTTATAATCCCCGACAGCAGCTTTCAGTGTTTTGTACTTGTAGGCACCTAATAAATTTATTATTTGCCAAATGGAATTGATTGAATTTGTGTCTGTTTGAAATCTAGGATGCTCTCTGTCACTGTGGCTCATCGGTGCCCATTTTGAGATGGCAGGGACTGGAAGTTGTTACATCTAGTGAAATCTCAAAGTTCAAACTGGAGAAGACATAGATGCTCTACAGAGATGCTCTGGATTCTAAATTAGAGAGTTCTTTGTGCTCGAAATTCAGCCAGTCTCATTTCTCCAATACAATGTAATACAGATATTAAAATCTGGTCTTGACAAATACTATGGGCATAGTAAAAGGGAAAAACCAACCTCAATAGAATTTTTTTTAATTTTTAAAAGACACAAATACAGCCCAAAGCCTTTTTTATTTGCCTCTGCCTCCAGTCGTGGTTTCCTCAGAGCCATATAAAATGAAAGATCAAAATGTCTCAGGCCCGAAATAGCAAAAGTTCAGTTGTTTGAATGCCCCTGGAGTCAACTTACAGGCTAAGTGTGGTCACCATGGTGGGAGAGATGCTCTCACAGGCGCCAAGGTAGATTCAGATTGCTCTTGTCACCACCATTGTCCTTGTCACCTCATTTAGTCAGCTATTCCAACACCTATTTATTTCACCCACACGGAGCTCAGACCTGAAGATACTGCAGTCCTGAAAATCTGCTCTCATGGACACTAATATAGAAACGATAACACCCCATAGCATCCTGCCTACCAGTTAACAGATAGAGTAACTTGGGAGAGTCTAACAAAATTAAATGGATTCTTAATTTTAAGAATTAAAATTCTTGAAATTTGCCTGCAGGGCTAAGGGAAATAGCTGAGATTTTGGAAAAGTAAAAAAATGAGGAAAACCAGGAAAGATAATCCAAACTGGTGCTTTTCCAACACCACTGGTTAGAGGGGTATGTGTGAGTGTGTGTGTGCATGCAGAAGGAGACAAAGGCAAAAAAGGTGTGTGAGATTTTCTTTTTTTTTTAATTATGAAAGAATGATAACACATTTGCCGGGAGACTTGGAAAATACAAAACAAGGTTATAAATAGTTCCACTATATATAATTTTGTGTATAATATATACAATATGTATACAAATATATACAACAATATAACATATGCAATTATTTTAAGGAGTAAATTAAGATTTTTAGTTGGAGTTTCAATATCAAACTCCCCAAAACTAACAGAATGAATATACAGAGAAGTAAAAGGATATAGTAGACCTGAAAAGCACGGTGAACCAATTCAACATAAGATTTATACAATTTTCACACAAGAGTAGATACAAATTCTGTTCAAGTTCGCATAGATAAACCCATAGACAAAGAATGATGGGTCTTTTTGCCACTTCTGTCTACTTTTCACATATTCAATCCTCACATGCACCCCCTGAAGCGTAGGTATTATCCTTCTAAGACACAGTGTTCAGAGCCTGAAGGAAGAGTTGAAATTCCAGCTCACTTAATCCTACCCCAGCCCATCTCCCATCTGCTGATCTTTCTTTAATCCAGAGACAAATTTCTCATAGCAAGATCCAATTCACTCAGGTCGTCTCAGCACCGGAATCAGAAGAAACAGACAAAAGGGAAGTCCGTAGCAAAATCACATTAAGTCAAAGTTCCCAAGAAATTATTCTGTCACCCAATTACTGAGAGGCTTAAGGAAAAATTAAGTAGGCTAAAGTTAAATATAAGGCAGAAGTTTTGCTTCAGGTTAATGGTTTAGAGAATTTGTAGTTCTGTTTGCAAACTGAATACATGATTTGTGATGTACCAAGTCTCCAGTGATGCCTCCCATGAGACAGAAGACCCGCTCCTCCCCATCTGTGCCTGCAGAAAAATATGACGTGTCATCTGATTGCAATCCACCCAACCTGGGTGGGTCTTGCATTGCTTCATGGATACAAGGGAAATAGCTATTTATAGGTCCCTTCATCAGTGGCCCAGGCTCAGAAACCCAGTTCTGTGATTTTCTGCAGTTCGTCACGGTGCCCTTTCCGCCAGCCAAGAATACCATGAAGTGCCACTGACATATTCGTGAAGGTGCTTTGAAAAGCAAGAGTACATTGAAAGGTAAAGGATCCTTCATGAAAGAAAAGTGGGGTTTAGCCCACGTTTTCCCTCACCTGCCCGTTGAAGCATACATGCATGATTCTAAAGCAGAAAGCCTAAACAATGAGATCATGGCATGCATGTCATCTTGGTATTCCATCAGGATGAAATTTGCCTAAGGAATTTAAATTCCAGTTGCCTAAGGAATGCAAATTACGAAAACCCTCAAAGAGCCTGTGGCAGGGAAAACGGGTAGGTCTGTGCAGTTGCAGTGAAATTGGACCCATTCTCCAGGGAATGATCAGTTCTTTGCAGGCTGGGAGTTTGCTAAATCATGTCGGTGGCTGTAGCCAAAGTAATTACCCTCACTGTGTGTACACAGTTGCCGTTAGAGCAGCCGGTTTGCCTGTCTGGACCCAAGGCTGTGTTGACACCTATAGTATAAACACCTCTTTGGAGAGATTTTTCATCTCATTAGACTTTTTAAAAAAAAAAGTGAGTTGAGGGCTAGAAATGTTATTCCTCATAGAGGATTTTCATTTCTTTCTCTTT